TAGGGTTTTTAAGTGTATTGTCAGTAATCTTGTGACCAGCATGTTTATAGTGCAATAAAGCAAATACGTTGAGTAGCATTTGGTGTCCACTACTTACCGATACCCTCATCTTTTCTAACAGTACAGTCAGTTCCTTGATATCCATCCCGACAATCACAGGCTCCATCTATCTTACTACACTGGTCTTCTGATTGACAAAATCTTGCTGAACAATTTGATGAACAATTATATCCATAGAATCCTTCATCACATTCTAGATAAAAAAAAAAATAGTGACAGCGTGTGCCAATTCAAAAGGAATATTTTGGAAATGTGCAAATTGATGCTCTCAGTGTCCCCGATTTTAGAAAAACCCCTTTTACAATCCCTTTAATACATTTTCCGATATCAATATATTATTGATAAAATTTCTTTTTGTCAAAGCCCTGATATTAAACGAAATAAATGAATCATTACCTAGAGTACAATCAATTGACTGAAAACCTGGTTGACATACACCATCACATTCTCCTGTTTTACTGTCACATTTTGTTGAATTGTCATCACATTTTCTATCTGAACATTTCTTACTGCACCCTACTCCATACAAACCAGTCTCACATCCTAAAAAAAAACATTGCGACTGGGAACATTGGAAGTTTTATCAGACGAATCATTTGAATTACCAAATTGGAAAGGTTCTAAATATTATGTTCTGCATGCATACAGCCCCGTAGATACAGGGGGTGAAGAGGCGCTAAAAAATTGATTGACCTACCCCGAAAAAATGGCCGACCTGTAACATCACTGCTACTAAACACCAAATATATATTACTATACGAAGTTCGCAATAGCTTAACACTGTGAAGATGCTTGGATCTTATATTAACTACCTTGAGTACAGTCTTGAACTGTTGGTTTATAACCAACAGAACATCCACCAATACATTCTCCTATCACATGATCACACTTCGAATTCTTCAGACATTTTCTATTATTACAATTCTTCTGACAACCAGCACCATAAAAACCATCAGGACATTCTGATATTTATACGAAAAGTATCTTATTAAAGGAGTTGATAAATGAATAATAACAAATGGAATTCTCATATACTTTCCCTCTGTACACTCATCTTATCTTTTCTTACTTACCAGCTGTACATCTTCTATACAATCTGATATCACAGACAGAACCGGTACTATGGTACTGTCTGAACCAATAAACAAACACGGGGGTACATGTTTCAGGGAAATGGTTTAAGTTAAATCTAAACTTGCTGACAACCATCTTCTGTATAATCTGGTTTACTTACCTACTGTACAACCATCTTCTCTATAACTCGGATTACTTACCTACTGAATATTCATCTTCTGTATAACCTTGATTACTAACCTACTGTACAATCATCTTCTCTATAACCTAGTTTACTTACCCACTGTACAACCATCTCTATAACCTGGATTACTTACCTACTGTATATTCATCTTCTGTATAACCTTGATTACTAACCTACTGTATATTCATCTTCTATATAACCTAGAGTACTTACCTACTGTACAATCATCTTCTGTATAACCTGGTTTACTTACCTACTGTACATTAACCTACTGTACAATCATCTTCTATATAACCTAGAGTACTTACCTACTGTACAATCATCTTCTGTATAACCTTGATTACTAACCTACTGTATAATTATACATCTTCTCTATAACCTAGTTTACTTACCTACTGTACAATCATCTCCTTTATAACCTGTTTGACAACCACCAGTACATTTTCCTGTTATATGATTACATTCTTGTGATCCTTTACACTGTCTATTGTTACATTGTTTATTACATCTATCTCCGTAGGTACCACTTGAACAGTCTGAAATATAATAATGTAACTTGGTTTTCTAACAATAACATGGTTGAATAACTAACTGTTCAATCATTTTCATTTTAACCTGTTTGACTAACTTTCTGTACAACTGTCTTCTACATTATCCTACTGAAAAATAATCTCCTCTATATCCAGATCTGCTCGCCTTTTGTACAATCATCATATCTTAATCCCGGTTTACTTACCTATTGTACAATAATCTTCTATATAACCTGGTTTACTTACCTACTGTACAATAATCTTCTCTATAACCTGGTTTACTTACCTACTGTACAATCATCTCCTTTATAACCTGTTTGACAACCACCAGTACATTTTCCTGTTATATGATTACATACTTGTGATCCTTTACACTGTCTATTGTCACATTGTTTACTACATCCATCTCCATAGGTACCACTTGAACAGTCTGAAATATAGTAATGTAACTTTGTATTCTAACATGAACATTGTTGAATAACTTACTGTTCAATCATGTTTATTTTAACCTGTTGGACTAACCTTCTGTACAACTGTCTTCTACATTATCCTACTGAAAAATAATCTCCTCTATATCCAGATCTGCTCGCCTTTTGTACAATCATCATTTCTTAATCCCGGTTTACTTACCTATTGTACAATAATCTTCTATATAACCTAGTTTACTTACCTACTGTACAATCATCTCCTTTATAACCTGTTTGACAACCACCAGTACATTTTCCTGTTATATGATTACATTCTTGTGATCCTTTACACTGTCTATTGTTACATTGTTTATTACATCTATCTCCGTAGGTACCACTTGAACAGTCTGAAATATAATAATGTAACTTGGTTTTCTAACAATAACATGGTTGAATAACTAACTGTTCAATCATGTTTATTTTAACCTGTTTGACTAACCTTCTGTACAACTGTCTTCTACATTATCCTACTGAAAAATAATCTCCTCTATATCCAGATCTGCTCGCCTTTTGTACAATCATCATTTTTTAATCCCGGTTTACTTACCTATTGTACAATAATCTTCTATATAACCTAGTTTACTTACCTACTGTACAATCATCTCCTTTATAACCTGTTTGACAACCACCAGTACATTTTCCTGTTATATGATTACATACTTGTGATCCTTCACACTGTCTATTGTCACATTGTTTATTACATCCATCTCCATAGGTACCCCTTGAACAGTCTGAAATATAGTAATGTAACTTTGTTTTCTAACATGAACATTGTTGAATAACTTAGTGTCCAATCATGTTTATTTTAACCTGTTTGACTAACCTTCTGAACAACCATCATCTCTTAATCCTGATGTACTTACCTTCTGTACAATCATCTTGTGTATAACCTGGCTTGCAACCACCAGTACATTTTCCTGTAATATGATTACATACTTGTGATCCTTTACACTGTCTGTTTTGACATTTTTCACTACATCTATTTCCATAGGTACCACTTGTACAATCTGAAACAGAATAATGATAATAGTGTATCCTATGAATGGACTGAGATTCCTTATTTCTACCAACAATTACGCCTACATGACTGTGTATGTGCTTTCTTAACATTGCTAATGTTAAACATGTTACATAAAATGCCAACAATTACTCATATTCTACCATATTCTCTGTAATCAGGTAATTGTAATGAACAATCGTCATCTCGAAAACCTGATAATTCTGGACACATGGATTTAAAGCAAGGTTGGCGACAAATATATACGTAGCAGTAAAATTTCCTATAAGCACTTACCTTTATTACAGCTACCACCATACCATCCTATCTGACAACCATTAGGACATTGACCAGTTATAACATCACATTTACCATAGTTAGAACAATGACAGAAATTATTACATTCTGAGCCATACGTTCCTCGTGAACAAACTAATAAAAAAAAATACAATACTTTACTTGAAGATAAACTGTAATAGAGAGACAGTGCGTTCCTAGTGAACAAACTGTAATAGAGAGAGACAAGTACTATCCTTGAGAACAAACTGTAATAGAAAGACAGTGCGTTCCTAGAGAACAAACTGTAATAGAAAGACAGTGCGTTCCTAGAGAACAAACTGTAATAGAAAGACAGTGCGTTCCTAGAGAACAAACTGTAATAGTTAAAGACAAGTACTATCCTTGAGAACAAACTGTAATAGAGAGAGACAGTACGTTCCTTGAGAACAAACTGTAATAGAAAGACAGTGCGTTCCTAGAGAACAAACTGTAATAGAAAGACAGTGCGTTCCTAGAGAACAAACTGTAATAGTTAGAGACATGTACTATCCTTGAGAACAAACTGTAATAGAAAGACAGTGCGTTCCTAGAGAACAAACTGTAATAGAAAGACAGTGGGTTCCTAGAGAACAAACTGTAATAGAGAGAGACAAGTACTATCCTTGAGAACAAACTGTAACAGAGAGAGACAGTGCGTTCCTAGAGAACAAACTGTAATAGTTAGAGACAAGTACTATCCTTGAGAACAAACTGTAATAGAAAGACAGTGCGTTCCTAGAGAACAAATTGTAATAGAAAGACAGTGCGTTCCTAGAGAACAAACTGTAATAGTTAGAGACAAGTACTATCCTTGAGAACAAACTGTAATAGAGAGAGACAAGTACTATCCTTGAGAACAAACTCTAATAGAGAGAGACAGTGCGTTCCTAGAGAACAAACTGTAATAGAAAGACAGTGCGTTCCTAGAGAACAAACTGTAATAGAAAGACAGTGCGTTCCTAGAGAACAAACTGTATTAGAAAGACAGTGCGTTCCTAGAGAACAAGCTGTAATAGAGAGACAGTGCGTTCCTAGAGAACAAACTGTAATAGAAAGACAGTGCGTTCCTAGAGAACAAACTGTAATAGTTAGAGACAAGTACTATCCTTGAGAACAAACTGTAATAGAGAGAGACAGTGCGTTCCTAGAGAACAAACTGTAATAGAAAGACAGTGCGTTCCTAGAGAACAAACTGTAATAGAAAGACAGTGCGTTCCTAGAGAACAAACTGTAATAGAAAGACAGTGCGTTCCTAGAGAACAAACTGTAATAGTTAAAGACAAGTACTATCCTTGAGAACAAACTGTAATAGAGAGACAGTGCGTTCCTAGTGAACAAACTGTAATAGTTAGAGACAAGTACTATCCTTGAGAACAAACTGTAATAGAGAGAGACAGTACGTTCCTTGAGAACAAACTGTAATAGAAAGACAGTGCGTTCCTAGAGCAAGGCCAACCAGCGTTTACCTTCAAACGCAAAGTCTCTGAGTTGGATAGTTTTATCCGTCCAGCAATGAAAACATCAGCTGTCGACGCGAATATTAGATCCCTCAATCGGACATGGCTCTGTAAGGTTACGCAGGTCTTGATCGACCATTACCAAACCACACTTCAAGAGAAGCTGACCACCATTCGTACCAAGTCTTTATCATCACCTGCCGTCGACCGCATCGTTTCTCATGCCCTGTCCTGGGCCCGTCGCTCCTATG